CTAATCTAATCTAATATTGTTTGTCTTCCTCTTCCAGCACCTTTAGTCAAAGGGTCCAGTGATACTCAAAGGAACCACGGAATGTTACTGGAGGGATTAGAAAGAGGCCTCAACTTTCTCCAGAATGCTAATGATCGAGGCACTCCTACGTTATACTTGATGGCAAATATATTAATATTTAAGTATGTTTGCACTCCAAAGTCACTTCCTGCAGGAGTGGAAAGCTCTCAAACTTTCAGTAGTCTCCATTTGCATCATTGTTTTAAAAGTAATGATGATGATAAATTTATAATAAGGGAACCATGGGTACAGGGTTAAAAAAGGACCGAAAGATATCAAAACTGGGACAGTCACTATCACCCAAACTGGATGTCCCACGGTAAGGACTACTCTGGCCTTCCGCTAATGTGCCCACCTGACTTTCTGGTTCTTCCTTTCTTACCCAACACAAGTTCTACTCATCACTGTCATACTTGTTGATCTCCAGTGATCTCTGTTCCACATCCACCATCTGTACACTTTGCTGCTCTCCTTCCCGAGCTTGTTAGCAGTCTCTTCTGCTCAGCGTAAGATGGAGCCCTCAAGGAACGTATGACCTGCACAGTTATTGGCCCTCTTATTTTCTGTGAACTGATTAAATCACATGGGTAACTTCCAACATTTCTACTTTAATTATTGGTTTGAGATGTGTGTGTAACTTCGAGATTGGTTGCTGCTTTAGGTCTAAACCTTTAAGAAGTATAATGGTCTTTGTGCTTCTTTTTCTTCTTAAAAGATAGAAAAATTTGAACTAACTTTATAAGCAGTGTGCACATTCCATACAGAAAATGTATTTAGTACAAGGTGCTCAGCACTGTTCTAGGTGCTATGTAAGACAGAAATCACATGACATGCCTGTCCGATCAAAAGACAATATATGATAAAGAACTGAACTGAATATAACCAAGTATCAAAACACAAAATGCTTTGAGTGCAATGGATGTTCAGAAAAAGAAAAAAAGAAAAAAAAAATACTATTGGTAAAGAGCTACCATGAATTTGGTCACAGACTCAGGGGCCTAAACCTAGAAGCTAAAGCATCAGATATGAATAAATGCACAGAATAGGAGTAAGTCTGAATCAAGAAAGAGAAAGAACAGATACCTTTTACAAGGTTTAGTCTGTAAAAGACCCTATAGAATGAGAACTCTGACTTTATCTACTGAGAAAGGCAGCCACTGAACTGGATAATTGAGAATGATAAGAGTTTTTCTGTTAGAAAGAATGGGGCAGTGATCCAGTTCATATTCAGTTATTAAGAATAAATGACAAAAGGGAGTCAGAACAATATTTTGAACACAAAACATACCCAATAAAAAATGTTGACTACTATGAAATAATTTCAGGGACTGGTAGTAGTGGAAATGTTGGGAAAATAAATCTTAATGGAAAAAACAGCAAGAAGTGTTTCAAAAGCATCAGGAATAAAAAGATGATTCCAAGATTTTTTTGAGACGGTAACTCTTATGAGTTTAACATTTGGATTTTCCTACAGAAACAAACGACTTTGAAAACATGTAGTTTACTGTATACTTCTTTCAATTCATAGCCAATTCTTTTGGATTCCTGAATAACTGATCAACTTGTAAACCATTTGAACATTTCAAATCTATTCCAACATGAACAAAATTTTCAAATTGTTTGAGTAAATTAGCAAATGAATAGCTGTCCTCAATTTAGAATTAGAGACCTGGATTGACATCTTGGTTCACTCTAAGTAACCTTGAGCATGTTACTGAACCACTCTGAGACTGTTTTTTTTTTTATAAAATAGGACTACAAATTGATCTAAGGTTTGTTGTGAGGATTCAATAACATCAACACATTAAACACCTGGGCCTTATATTTGAAGATACTCCAAAAATGTCTTTTCCCTTCCTCTCCCCTTAGTAAGATAGGAGTTAGTTTCTAGCCAAATCTAATTGTTCATGCTTTTTTTATGTAACAGAATGTAAGGAAGGAGTTGGAGAGTGAAATGGGAATGTGAAAACACTTATCTTTCAAAATTAAGAAATAACAATCTAAAAATGACTTCACCATGGGATTCAAGTTGGCGATCTTTCTGATGTACTACAAGTAGCACATGAGAGACCCTAGTTCCCACCATATCTACCCATGCAAAGAGGGGCTTTAATAAGGGAATTCTTCATCTTCCCTTAGAGGGAAACATTTAAGATTCAGCATACACTTCCTATTATCCAACTCATTCTGACATATTCAAGCATGCATATTTCTTGTTAGGAACAGCAAGGATGAGGTAGATTCAGGTCATTTTTTGATCATTAAAAACCATTAAGTAAAATACAAACAAGAGTGGGGGAAAAAAAGCACAACTTTTTTAAAAAGCACTTTATAAAATCTGAAAGCAACATAATTATGAAGTTAAAATGTATTCATTCCTAAATTCAATTAACTAAAGAAATGCATTAGGGACTAGTCATTCACCAGTGGTTCATGTAGTTTTAATATTAGCCTAAATTAAATGTATATAAGAGGATAATACTCTTCAGGGAAGGAAATATAAATCTAACTTCTATTTTTTATTGACACCATTACTAGAATAAAATTCATTAATTTCAGTGCAAATTCAGGAATTTTACATAACCACTGAGACAACTTTAATGTCCTACTATAAAATTTTAGATTAACAATTTTTAAAAAAAGACTGAATGCGATCTATCTTAAGACATTAATCAAATTTTTAATGTACCAATTTATTGCATATGTCAGTACAGAAAAATAGAAAGTATACTTTAAAAGAAATTTATTGTAAAAAACAAATGTAAATGCTTGCTTGCCATGGTTAGCACACAATGTACTATGACATTCAAATTTGAGTTATAAAATTTTATTACTACTTCAAATAAAATATGGCAAATAACAAAAATATGATTTACATTATGAAATGGGATTAACTTATTTTATACTGAACATACTTGAATATGTTAAAAACAACTTGACTTTTCCATATACGCTGTACTGACAGAAATTGTTATAAATTATGTTAAACACACACTCACCTGTTACATATGTATATATGGCACTTTTTGTAAAAAAGTGTCTCATACACAGTCCTATTTTTAAACTACATTTTAAGATACAAAATATAAATGGAGGTATATTTGCGCCATTTGGCAAAAACGTGTAGACTAGTATTAAGATGACTGCATTTACCTTGCCATACAAATGAATATATTATTTCCAATTTGCTAAAACAATGTGTGTATATATATATATATATATATGGTATTAAGAATAAACAGAAGTATGTTTCATTTTCTACCCTATCAGTTTAAAAAATAAATGTCTGTGCTATGTCATTTCCATCTTTACCTGAGTAATATGAAAATACATAAATTTAAGTGGATAATCCAAAAGGGCTATTTATGACTAATTTTTCCTCTCGCAGCTTTAAAAAATATATTTAGTTATCAAACATAATATGAAAAAGGGAGAGGTGAAGGATCAGTGAAAGATTTCAGTATCTCAATCATGACATAAATTAAAAAGTGACTTCTGTGACATTCTTTACAAGTTTATCTGACCTATCCCTATCCTCAAGGAGAAAAGGGTCTCCTTAATATAAACTACTCTTAAGCTATCTGAGCTTGAAAGATAATTTATAAAACATTAAATATATGGCCTTCATTCTTTAATTTCCCCAAACCTATTCCCACCAAGCCAAATCTTACAAACATAAGAAATGAATATGTAAGCATCAGATGATATGATTTCTCAACAGATATTACAACATAACTACTCCAGTGACATCTTACCAAAGCTGTAATCTATGTAATTACCAAGTGTCCACAGGTAACCATAAATTTAACCAGCCCTGTAACAAAATTCAGAACACCATTTTTATGAAAATATCAATTTTACAGTCAAAAATATAACTGCAAAAACATAGGGTAGTTGCGATGTCAAGTGTCCCAGTCACTTATTAGAAACGCTTTGCATTCAAATGTTTTGCACTATTTCCGTTTCATCAATCTCATCAATTTACTTTCTATATCTAAATTTAAGAACTGTGTCACACTTTCTAGGTGTTTCTATCCTACTAGTATTCTATTACCTGTCACAAATTATTTCTTCTTTTATTTTGCAGTATGCTTTTTAGGGTTCTTTTTATACTTCTTTTTCACCAGGTTTCCCCCCCCACCATAATGGATGTGGAATTTTATTCTAAATGAGCTGTATCTTGCCATATTTAAGATTACTCTAGGATCCCCAAATTTACAGTAACTTAAAGTTCATTTGTAAACTCCTATAGCTGTTCTTGCATAAATTAGTCAGAAATTAATATACAAGATGGATACATATACTTCCACTACCACTAAGCAATGGGTCCAAGGTGAAGGAGGGACTCCTGAAGAAGTCTCATTTTACTAAGAACAACTGCTTTGGCCCCAAAACTGGAAATTATTTTCAAAAATGGGGCCATGGGCTTCATGGCCTCCTGATACTAAGTTTGTTTTCCACCTCTTACCCATCTAAGGAAATAGTCTCGCATACAGATGCTAGTGAAGACAGATGTGGTACAGCCCTAGGCACTGCCTCTGCCCTTAGCTGCAGAAAGAAAGAAAGAAAGAAAGGCTCCTTAACCCTAAGAAGAGAATTAAGGTAGAGGACAGCAAACAAGTACGCTACAATTTTTGAAGTCCTGGCTTAAATTTAAAAAGATAGTTTATAAACCTGGAATATCAAAAAGATAAAGCAGCATAAAAGCAAAGTACTGATGAAAAAATAGCTTTTAGACTTCATCAGCATATTTAGAACTAAAGTTGATAAACTTCTCCATAGTATAATAGACTGATCACATAGAAACATAAGGTATTTTTTGTAAACTTTAAATAATGATACAAATATAAGGTATGCCATGTAAACTCGTGTCTAAATACACATTTTGTATTTTCTTTTTAATACATTAATATTTTGAATAGTCATTCTACATAGCAAGAACTGACAAGAAAAGTAGGCTTTAATTGTGAATTTATACATACAAAATATGCCTTCCATGATATGCATTACCAACTTGTTTTAAAAAGCAAGACTTTTTACAATTAATTTATAGAAAAAAATTATTCTTAGAAATAATACTTGCTATAATTTATTTTTTCTAAATACTGGCATAAAGTGAATAAGAATGCTATTTGGCAAAAGTATTTCTAGCCCTATCTCCATGGAAAGAATTTTAAATTGAGGTCAAGAGTATTGACCTATTATTTATCTGTTCTAGTTGCTTGCAGAAAGCCATTAAATATAGCTAAAATATTCAAAATATTATATGTTAAAGCTGACATATTACACAGAACTCAATTGCATCTATTTTTTGAGGACTGCTTTAAACAACTTGGCACAATTATGACTCATAGCACGTATTTTTACTAAGGTAAATCCTGCAAGTTTCAAGGGGCTTTTTTTTTCTAAGTAAGGTTTTGTTACTTTTCTAAAATCTAAATCCTACTTCCCACCTATAGTCATTTAATTGCTAAATGTGGTAACAAGTTCTATGTCAAAAAGCTCCAGAATTCCTTCATTCTCACATTCCTACATGTAAAAACTTTTAAAACAAATAAATAAGACTTCCTAAAACTGTCTTTTGATGTAGGAGTTCTGTTTCACAGGAACTGGAACATTGTTGGATTTTGTAACTTTTATTTTCAAGAAGTCCAATAAATGATATCTTGCCTTTGGTGGGTTAGATTTAGCTAGGTACTGGGACTTAAAATCAAATGTGTGGATTTTTGTAAAGTAGTATGTACAATTCTGTAATGATAAAAGACTTCCTAATTTAATTCGTAAGCAGTGCTGATCTTCACTATGACTGCTATTAGTGGTTCAGCTGTAGACTTACAAAATAAACAGAAGCTAAAATTCTCTTTGCCACCAAAGTTACAAATGTTAAAAAGTTCAAATATGCACATCAAAGCTGCAGTAAAATTCTAAATTTCTATTTCTACATGCCATGATCCAGACTGTACCTAACAAAAACACGGTACATTTATATAGGAAAACAGGGTCCCATTTATTTGTAAGAAAAAGCTGGATCTCAGCATTCACCAGAGCAAAATTCAATGGCAACCTGCACATAGGTCTCAATTTCACTTCTTGCCAAAAACAAAATAGAATTTACATAAAAATAGATATAACCCAGATAACCATATACATCAGTATATGACCAGTGCTATTTACATTTAAAATGTTGCATTGCATAATTCAAGGAATAAAATACCATCATGCATTTCATTTAACTTTTAAAGTGAAAAATGCAGTTACAGAACTAAGTTTGCTTATCATGATTGTCCCAATATTTACTTAAGAAATAATACCCAAAGGTTTCTTGTTTACATATCTCCTTCCACATCTAGCTATTAATCTGTGTAAGATTACGCCACTTCAGCAACAAGAAACTTTTGAACAATATCTTATATCGACATATTAAACTAAAGATATGAATACATAACCACATTGAAAGTTTTGATGAAAATGTATGAAATAATCCCAAGAATTATATTTTTCAAATGTAAAAAACTATTTGGATCATCATAAAGGAGCACTGAAGTCCTTTCAAAGTTTAATGTCACTCTTCAGACAGGTACAGACATAACACTTCTAAAAGGAACATTCTTAACCATTCTGCACAAATTAAAATACAATGCAATAATCAAAAAGGGAAACATCATATAATTGTTACATTAGATGAAGTTTTTGCCATTTCTTCAGGAGAATGGCTCTTTACGACTTCTTTGATGAATTGTTCAAGTGCAGTGAAATAGCCTTGGCACTGCCATGTATCATTGTGAGTCCCATCTGGAAAAATGGCTAATCTCTTAGTCCGAGATGGGGAGAGTTCATAAAGTTGTTTCATCATGACTGGTGGAATTAATTGATCTGAGAGTCCAGAGATGAAAAGAGAAGGCATTCTGCACTGAGAGATTTTTCTGTAGGACAAAAATTTATTTTTGTAGCACCATAAAGGAAGGTAACGCATTGGAAAGAATGAAAATAAAGTGCTGGCCATATGTGGTATGCTTAAAAATGTGTTCTCCACCATAATGGCTGAAATCCTATGTGAATTTTCAGAAGCCAAATGAATAGCTACTGCTCCACCCAAGGAACGGCCAAAAAGAAAAATTTTTGTTTTATCAAGGTCAGGTCTAGTCATCACATAGTCTAACACAGCTTCAGAATCTAAGTAGAGTCCTTCTTCACTTGCTTCTCCTTCACTTTTTCCGTATCCTCGATAATCAACCAGCAAAAGGTTAACTTTGAGGTTAACCAACATAAGTAGTGCATTTGGCAACCTGTGACCTATGTTGCCTGCATTCCCGTGAAAATAAATTATAGTTGGGGAATAGGGTGAATTGTCTCCCGTGTATCGTATCAAAATAAGGTTTAGACGTATTCCATCTTTGGTTCTGATGAAGATGTTTTCATGTGGGATGCCAGTGGGCATGGGGACATAAAGACGTGAAGACGATGGCTGTTCCGGAAAATACAGCAACACATCCTGGAATTTATACAGAATACCTGCGATTGATATGAGTATTAACAAAAGTAAGATAATGCCTCCATGCAGATGAAAAGTCACTATTAAAGGTAAAAGAGAAATACGGCAAAGAGCCCAAGACCATGAAGCCAAGGCTATTAGCCATCTTTCAATAAAGTTCCACAGCATCCAGGACTTTTCCATTGTAGTTTTCTGTATGTATCCTAGAGAGAGAGAGAGAGGGAATATCAGTAATTCAACATGTATCTATTATTTGTAAAAAATCCATAACATAATAAACTATGGTACTAGGCCACATGTAATTGTTAAATATGGTCATAGGTATAAGCCATCCACAAAAGTAGTTGCTATAATTTCCCTTGTCCTTTCTGTTCTCAAGTTTCCTTTCTACCACATCCCTCCACTGTCATATTTATGAAACACTAACATTCATCAAATCACATTTATTTTTAAAAAGTGCTCATTTACTGTCAGCTATCTTCATTTATACGTTTCTCACTGATTTGACCAAAAAAAGTTGATGCTACATTGTCATTTTTTTTTTCTTAAAGGAGAAAACAGAAGCTCAGGAGCGTAAGTAGACTGGCCATCACCTGGCTCTCAAGGTAGAAGAGCTGGGAGGCAAACAAGCACGATTCCAGAGCTTATCATACATCTACTGTTAAGTTACGTATGTCCAGGGCAAACTGTCCTGAAGAGGCAGTTCCGAAATTCTAACTTAGCAAGACCAGTCTAATACACTTTGTCAGTCTTTTTCATGTACTGTGGCTAAAACTAAAGAAACTAGGGTAAGGAGCTGGACAAAACAAAACAAAACAAAGCAAAACAAAACAAAATTAACTAGGGTAAGAATAAAAGTATCTCCCTTTCTACCTGAAAGTTTTAATACTAAACTTAAATAATTTACTTAAATTAACCATTAAATTCTAACACTGTATTATTTTTAAGAAAATGATTAATGATTTGTCTTTCATATCTAATTAAAAATAAATAGATTGCTGGTGTCATGAGATAGGAAGTGTCACATCATGAGGTCAACAGATTGCTAAAATATATTGATAAGGCAATAAATACTTGAGGGTGAAGTGTGAAACAAATGCATAGAAATTCTCCAAGAAGCAGCAAACTGACAAAGGAACAGAAAACCAAACATTGTATGCTCTCACTCATAGGCAGGTGTTGAACAATGAGAACACATGGGCACAGGGAGGGGAACGTCACACACGGGGGTCTGTTGGGGGGTGGGGAGGTTGGGGAGGGATTACACTGGTAGAAATGCCTGATGTACGGACAGGCGGATAGAGGCAGCAAACCACTGTGGCATGTGTATACCTATGCAACAATCCTGCAAGATCTGCACATGTACCCTAGAAGTTGAAGTACAATAAGAACGAAATAATAAAAAAAAAATTTTAAAAAGAAATTCTCCAAGAACCAGAGATAAATGAAGTAAAATGACTCTCTGGAGAACAATTTTTAAAAATATGTAACTGACATAAAGAAAGTAAAGAAAAACTATTAAGTTTTTGTTATCAAAAGGTTTATACATGTTGTCTTAAAAATGCAAAAGAACTGAGATATGTCAAAAATTTTCTTGTGTACTATTCATCTACTTATGCTTACTTACTGAATTTTTAAAAATACAGTTCCTTTTTTCCCACTAACCAAACTGCTATAACAAAGTTACAGATTGATTATAAAAACAAGGTGGACGATTTAACACATTTGATTTTTTACTATTATTTCACTAAACACAGACTTTTACATTTGAATTCTTACTCAAATGAACCTTTTTAAACATAAACCAGCATTTTTCTCTGATTTTCCAGAAATCAACACTGCCACCCAGTGGTAGCAAATTTTATTACTGTATCACATTCTCCCTGAATAACTGTATTTATCACCTATTTCCAGTCTGAATTGCCTTTTCAGTAGAATAAGAGTTTTTAAAATGCTTACATATAAGGCTGGTCAGTAGTATGAAGATTAGTAATAAGAACATTCATAAATGTTATAGGCATGTTAACTTTATTTGGTTTTGTGACTAGTATTTCTGGCTCTATTACTTTCTTAACTGTGTTCTGGCCAAATTAGTTCTTAATTTTAAAAATTATTACTAAGCCAGATAAAATAGCTCCAAATACATGAATAAAGCATATTTTAAAATCTGAATCTTATACTTACATTTGTATAAATTTACAGTTAAATGTTCAACTAATGAACTTTGAAAAGTTCTTTTTGTTTTAGTAGCCTTCAACACCTAATTTTAGCAAACAATACTGAATTTAAATCTATAAAGCTAGGAAGTATATTTCTCTTTTTCACTATTGCATATCTAATGACTAGTACAGCACTTTATATATACTTATGACTAAAACATTTTAAAATAATCTAATTACATATATAAATTATTAAGTTTATTTAAAAAAAAAGTATTCTGAGCAGTGGGCACATAATGCTTAAAATGACATCAGAAAAATGGGCATATTTATTTGGGTCTATTACTGGCTAGGAATAACAAAAGATAAACCTACAGTTTTCCACAAAACATTCCTGAAAAGTCAAATTAACTGTTTTGTGATAAACAATCATAATCTTACAGTGAGTTGTTACACTATGGAAGTCAAAATAAAAGTCAATTCATTTTGAGCAATATCAAATGGAAGTCATTTTTAAGAATAGGTTAATAAAAAATTGCTCTGGGGTGGTGAGGTGCATGGATATGGTTTTTTAAAAACATATTCTTATATTGGTGGTTTAGGATAAGAACTCCACTCACAGATTGCCTTATTTTTATCTAACCCCACTTACCAATAATCTCTGTTCCCTGGTCTGTGTATGTACTTCCATTCAAAGATGTTCTTAAAAGAAACCAGGACAAATGAACAATATCAGGAAGGATTTTTAATTTACTGAATTTGCTGAAAGTATCAGCGAAGCAAAATTACCATGCACCATCTGGTGAGATGTAAAAGCAACTTCATACCCAGATGTTATGACAGTCAATAAAAACAAGCACTGCCTCTAATAAGTCGATTGCACCGATCCCACAGCCAGCATTATATTTTCTATTTATTTTGTCAGTTAGTGTAAATAAAGGGTTAACAAAACCTTTCTCCCTCTTCAGATAAAAAATGACCTCTCCTCAACCTTCCTGCACTGTTTCCCTGGAAACATGATAAAGGTGGGCTATCAGCTGTGTTTCTAAGCAACACTGTAGTAAAAATGGCTCCTACTGACAAGCAACATCTGGATTGAAGGGAGAGTAAGCGGGGCTGAACGTGCGTAGTGGAAAAGTATAAACAGGGGCTTCTCTGAATCAAATAAGACTTGTAACTGACTTGTCATTTGCTTAGTCCTGGATGCTATACTTACATGCTGTTAGAAGATGACACTGTTTCCTGCAGAGCATTAAGGAGTTAAGCCAGGGTGGCATTCACTCCCATCCTTGTGTCATTTTCCACTAAACCTGAGCTATCATCTAGGAACAACATACCTAACGGTGACATGTTGGGTTTTCCTTCCCATAATTTTCAAAAAACCAGAGAGGCTGATACATAGCAGGGTCCACTATGGTCTACTGGGCCTTGTGAATAGGAATGTTCAGTTGACCCCAGGACCACTGCTACTAGTCATGGAGAATGAGGGAGGCAGGCAATCAAGTATGTCCTATGTGGTAAAACATAAAATTTGTCTTCAGAACAGATGTATTGTTTGTCAGGTTATTCTGCATGCGAAATCCATTTGCTGATAACATCTTAGCATGATAAAAATCAGGAAAAGGATGCATTTAACACACTCAAAGCTTATATCAATTAGAAGGGTTGCTGAGTGGGAGAGCACATAAGACCTGTTCTATGGAGAATGTAGAAATGTAGATAATCAATTACTTCTCATCTTCCATTCTTCTTTTACATCATTATTGTATGTATTTTTAACCTTGTGCCTACATCTTAAAATGAATACTTGACAGTTCCATTTTTCAATTTTGTTTGCCATGTTAACAGATCTGCTATTACATGTCAAACATCTCTAAAAACTACCTATGAATTTAACTTTCCCCAGTAACTCCTTAACCATTTGCTATCTGAGAATTTGATGACTGAATTCTCATAATAATCTCTCATAAAATGTAAAATTCACTTTAAAATATATCTAGCGGATTTTTCTCAATCCACACTGCAATACCAGACCCCCAAAGTGTCATCTGTGGTTGACTCGTCCTCTATACTCAAGTTGCTGTTTCTCTCTGCCCTATACCCTGAAAAGCAGACATTTCTCCAAGGTCGAATCCACTGTTTTTTAGGTTATTACATTCTTTCCCTCAGTGATTTAATTCCTTCTCATGTCTCCAATTATCACACCTGTGCATGAATTATTCCCAATCTACAAGTCTACTCTTTATCTATAATCTCAATTTACCTGTTCCTCACGTGCCTGATACTTCACTGATATTTCTAATTTATCTAAAATAAACGCATCCTGTTCCCATCCCAACATTTTGCAGACTTTATGCTAATTATGCACAAAAAAGCTGGATGTGTAAAGAAATACATTTTTTAAAAACACAGGATATGTAGACTAAGATTTCAGTATTACAGTTTATTACAACCTGTTCTGTTCTTGTATTTGAATGAAAAAAAAAACTCAACCTTAGAAATAACTTTTGTGCTTTTTAAATGAAATGGTTTGAGGTGTCACACTGATACCGGTGAGTGTGTCTCCAAAAATAATCTACTGAAAGCATGACTAATCTTTATTGTAATGTACTATATAGATAAATTATATGATTGCTTTTCTTTTAAAAGAATAGTTTTGAAATATTAGTGACATCCTGCTAAACTACATAAGTAGTCTGATTATCTGATGCAATTTAAGATATGGTGCTTGTCTTGAGGACTTACGGCCCTAATTGGCTTGTTGTAGTCCCTTCTAGTGCTCCTTACTTACTGTCTCTATATTTAAGTCCATTATGGGTATACAACAAACAATTTGAGACTAAAAATAAGAGTAATCTAGAACTGTAAAGCTCTCACACCACTTTGCCAGACAGCAGTGTTCGCTGAATGGCAAGTCAGGTAATGGAATGAGTGATGGCCATGCTTACCTGGTCTCTACTAATCCTCTCCTGTGCTCTCATATAGGCACCTGGAAGATCACAACTAGTTCAATTTTTCAGAAAAAAATATTTAAATTAAACAAC